TCAGAGAGTTGTTAAAGGAATAAGGTCAGACAATGCAAATGAGTTGTAAATTTTTGATCTTTTCAAGAGCAAAGGAATCATGTCATATCATTCTTGTCCAGAGACACTAAAACAAAAATCTTAGTTGAGAGGAAGCATGAACATATACTGAATGTCGCACGGGCACTTATGCTTCAATCATGTATTCCTTTGGAGTTTTGGTATGACTGTATATTGACTGTAGTCTTTCTTATCAATCGTCTTCCGTGTCCTTTACTAGCTAACAAGAGTCTGTATGAGGTTTTAACTACGAAGAAGGCATATTATACTGGATTATGGATGTTTGGTTTTCTTGCGTACAGTTCAACATCATCTAAGAACCGTCATAAGTTCAAACCAAGAGCACGGCCGTGTGTCTTTCTTGGTTATCCTTCTGGATACAAAGGATATAAGCTACTTGATTTTGAGACAAATCAGATTCATATCTATCGTAATGTAGTCTTTCATGAAGAAATCTTTCCTTCCACACAAGATCTAAAAGATTCTGATATGGACTTCTTTTCTTTTACGCATAACGTTGACACACTGATAGTCCATCTACTAGTAGTGGAATTCCTGCAGTTGTGAGAGAACAACCTGACATTTCTCCTGCAGTAGTGAACATTCCATCTACTTCTACTGATGTTGCATCTCCTAGTTCTAGATCGGCTAGTTCAGAAGTTCCAAAAAACACTGATAATGAGAAAAAATCTTCAAAGAGACCAGCGTATTTATAAGACTACTATTGTAACTTGAATACGACTAAGATTTCTTATCCAATGGCAAACTATTTTTCTTATGATAATTTATCTGAAGGATATAAGGTGTATGTGTGTTCTGTCAATCTCATGCAGAACCAACTTTTTTGCTCAAGCAAACAAATTCGATGAGTGTCTACGAGCAATGAATGCAGAACTTATAGCTTTGGAGAGCACATACACATGGGAAATATGTTCACTACCTGATGGCAAACAAGCTATTGGATGGCATTGGGTTTACAAAGTTAAGTTAAATGCCGATGGCACTTTGGAGAGGTATAAAGCAAGATTAGTTGCTAAGGGTTACACGCAAAGAGAAGGGGTTGATTTTGTGGATATGTTCTCACTTGTAGCCAAGATAACGACAGAGTAAACATGACTAGCCGTGTCTGCAGCTAAGAAGTGGAAGTTGAGCCAGTTAGATATTTCAAACACATTCTTAAATGGAGATTTAACATAGGAGATTTACATGTCTTTGCCTCCAAGATACACTCCGAAAGAAGGAGAGACCATACCTCTTAATGCAGTTTTTCATTTGAAGAAATCTATATATGGTTTAAAGCAGGAATCATGCCAATGGTTTCTCAAGTTTAGTTCTACATTGCAGCGTTTGAAGTTCAAGAAATCACATACGGATCATACATTGTTTGTGAGTAACAACAATGGTAAATACATTGTTCTATTGGTCTGGGTAGATGATATAATAAGCACTAGCAATGATGATAACGAAGCTGAGAAACTCATAGATGACTTGAAGAAGGCGTTTGAACTCAGAGATTTAGGAGAGTTGAAATATTTTTGGGGCTAGGAGATAGCTCGATCAAGCAAAAGCATCTCAGTTTTCCAACGAAAGTATACTTTGGGTTTGCTTGAAGAAACAAGGCGTCTCGCTTGTAATCCTTCAAGCATACCAATGGAACCGAGTCTGAAAATTCATCAACACTCTGATCAACCTCCTCTTTCAGATGGTACTATGTATCGACGTTTGGTTGGGAAAATGTTGTATCTTACGATCACCAGACCAAATATCACATATGCCATTAACAAGTTTTGTCAGTTTTCCTCTACCCCTAAGGCTTCTCATCGTCAGACAGCCTATAAGATGTTACATTACCTCAAGGGCACCACTGGCTGTGGTCTGTTCTACTCTGATGAATCAAACTTTACTCTCCAAGCTTTCACGGATGCTGATTGGGCTTTGTGTCCAGATACTCGTCGTTCAACTTCAGGCTTCTCTGTTTTCTTTGGAACATCTCTCATTTCTTGGAAATCTAAAAAGCAACATGTAGTTTCACACTCTTCTCCATAATCCGAGTATCGGGCTAAGGAATTTACAATTCGTGAACTTGTTTGGATTATAAACTTGGTGTCTGAGTTGCAAGTTGCTCAATGAGGTCCAGTTTCTTTGTTCTATGACTCAATAGCAGTGATTCACATAGCAAATAATGATGTGTTTCACGAACGAACTAAACACATAGAGTTAGATTGCCATCAAGTGCGTGAAAGAATTAAGGAGGGGCTAGTTAAGACGTTGCATGTTCGGATTGATCAACAAATTGCCGACGTCTTCACTAAACCTTTGTTTCCTTCACAGTTCAACAAGCTTGTGGGCAAGATGTCTCTAACAAATCTGTTCTTGACATCTTGAGGAGGGGTATTAATATAGAGAAGTCTGGTTTACACTAATCGTATGTTGGTTAGATAAGTGTACCCGACTTAGTAATCTCTATATATAGAAACAAATGTAACTGACACTCAAGTTGAATAACATAATCTATTTTTGAACATCTTCTTCATCGCTCTCGTTACACTCTATGAGAAAGGATCAAGGATTAAAATTTCATTTTTTTTCCCAAATCAAAACAACGGTATTGTTTTTATTTGATAGATTGAATGGCAGGTGGAGTCTGACTCAGACACATTTACAATTGAGTAACGATTGTTATTCAAAATAGATGTATCTAAGTTCATGTATAAATTTCAAAAGTGTTAAGGTGGGTTTGATTTTACTTTTATTTTTTAGCGGCGGTTGGGTTTGATTTTACTTTTATTTTTTAGCGGCGGTTGGGTTTGATTTTACATTTATCTTTAGTTTGGGTCTAAAAAGATACTATAAAGATTGTAGAGGTAAAAAAAAAAACATGTTTCCCATAAAAACAAATATTCTTATACTTAGAGCATTAGTACTGTTGGAAGCAGTAAATCAAGTTTCTCATTATATTATAAAAGTATACTTTGTTTTTGTGATTAAATTTTAATTATAGAAAGAAATTGGACCAATAACAGTGTGACAAAACTAAGAAGGATCTTCCAAATGTTTTCCCTATGTACCTTGTTCTGTTTATCTTTCTATCCTAATTTTTTATTTGTTTTATTATTATTTTTGTAAGAATTGGGTTGAGATACTTAGAATAACTTTTATTAGGTCATACTCAAATTAGATATCTCAAAACAAAAAATATTATTAATCTAATTAGTTTTTATTTAAAGATTAATTTTTATAGTATATTTTAAAACAAATCTAATTGGACAAAGACAAGTAGTCATTGGAGAGTCTAAACCTTGTGTCACAAGTTGGCATGCCAGAAAATTCTTATATTCTCTTTCATACTTTTTTCTTTTTTTTTTTCTTTTTGCTCATATATTCTCTCTAGATACTATTTCTTCTCCTTGACGGCATGAGTGTCAGATCTATAAGGAGGAGAGCGAGTTTGGTGATTTTGGGAACAGCCTTGGAGCATGGGATGCCCCTCGTCTCTTCTCGCTCAAGTGAACTTCGGAGATTCCTTCTAGAGGCACACTAAAGCTCGTGCGGAGGATGTGTGTTCGCCGGACTTTTCTTTTTGATGTGTGTACTGTAACTTCTGGAGGCCATGAAGAATCGTCTATGGTTCGGTCGGAGAAAGGAAGGGAGATTCTTCTTCTTTTTTCAAGCAGAGCCTCGACATCGGCATGTTGGTGAGTTATTGGTAAAGTTGCTTCTCCGGTTCTCGGAGACGGGTCGTGATGGGCCTCAAGCTTTTCCATTGGTCTGCGGGAGAGCCATAAGGCCCAGGGATGGTCACAGTTAGAGAAATGGCATTCGCAGTACCGTTGAATTGTTTTGATCCGGTAGCCGTGTGACGTCTTCTGCATTTCACTAATCACTAATGGAGTCATCGCCTCAACCCGTCTTTTCCAGATTCAAAACCGCTGCCCTGTGCGGCCGGACAAGTGGAGTGGACTATGTGCTTGTTGGGTGAAGGAACAACTGGCAGGTCTAATACTTCTGATCATTCAGTTCCAGTTGCAAAGGACCTTATTTAGAAGACTTACTTTGATTGTTCGGGTGTATAGGTTAAGTTTAGTATTTTGATTTTCTAGTGGTATAATTAGGTTGTTTAAAAGACGGTTCATTCCGGGTCTTGAGATAATGTTGTTTTTATAGTGGTTAAAAATGCAACAATATACTCTAGGTTCCAGAGTGTTGCTAAAATGCATTGTTATATATGTGGTTAAACTGGTGTGATCAAAATCTTTATACCAATTTATGGGTGAATGAAATAGTTGATGTTGAGAAAAAAAAAAAAAACTACTAATGTAAGTGCTCTTACCATTGCGCTTGTCCTTGGTATTTTTAAAAGGCCTTAGTACAATTTAATCCTATAGCTCGTACGGTTTTCGAAACCATTAGCTTACGGTTTTTGAAACATTCGATTAAAGGTCGTATCTTTCACAAGCTATATGTATATATATTTGTTACATTTCCGTTGTTCAATTTCTGTTAATAAGAGTGCAGGTTGCTTCGCTTGATCGTTGTGTTACTGTTTCTTTAGGGGTTAATACCGTTCTATAGCCGCATGTGTATGTTGGATACACTGGACCATGTCTAAGAAAGCCCACTATATTCGTGCTGCCCATAAGTGTATACATACATTAACATTGCATCAACATTGAGATCCCTCGAGTCTTCAAAAGCGCAACATGAATTGATTGACAAGTTTTAGACAGTTTCCAATACGTTTGCCTAGATGTGCGGTACAGCTCATTAATACCTGAGCTGATCATAATTCGTATTAGAATTGAAACAAGTACACTTGATGAGTATTGTAGTTGAACTATTCATCATATTCATTACGGAATTACAAGCATCAAACCAAAACAAACACGGACGACAACAACGACAATAAGAAGAAAGAAAGGTGGATCCGACCGTACCTTTATTTTCAAACATCAAAAACGTTTTCAGTTGTCATAAGTACGACACTCATCAGTTTCAGGATTATCGCTGCAATATTCTTCCAAAGGATCGGATCCACCAGCTTTCTTCTTGTCCCTTGCGTGACTCGCTGCCGCACTCAGCTCCTCCACCTCGTCCCAAGCCGCCACACACTCCCCGCTAACCGGATCGTCAGCGCAAGTCTCCTTCGCTTCTTGAATACTCTTCTCCACCTTATCCGATATCCCTCCTTCTGGTGTCGCCTTCACCGACATAACCATACGGTTCATCGAACTGAATTTCCACGGGTAGTTCAAACGGACCGGGGCGGATAGACGAGCCACTGGTAGTACGACTGCTCGTGGAGTCGCGAAGTTGAGACCTGTTGCAGCTACGGTTGTCATCTTTGGAGAGTTTTGATGGACGAGAGGTTTTTTTTAATGCAAGGAGAAGGAGAAGAAGATAAATACAGCTTCTTGTGTGACTCTGTGATCACGATTTTCTTATCTCCTATCAACCAAGCTTATTTTGCCACGTGTATTCAGATATTTTACAAAACAATATTCCACCAAAACTTATTTTTTTCAGATATTAAAATTTTACTCCCTCTGTTTCATTATAAGTGTCACTCTACAGCTGTGTACACAGATTAAGGAAACAATTAATTTTACATATTTCCTATACAAAAACACAGATACCCATACACCTAACCATATTTTAACCAATAGAAAAACAAATTACATAATAAAATTAATAAATTTTGCATTGAAAACCGAAAACGACACTTATTTTGTAACGTAAAAAATTCTCTATAACCACACTTAATATGAAACTGAGGGAGTAATTTTCTTACAAAACTTTCAGCTGTTAGGCAGTTTTATGAAAAGCTTATAGAATGAACTTGAAAAAAAACTATACAACAGGTAAAAACTTGTCACGATTATCAAACTAAACCCATTGATCAAATTTGTTTATTCACTGCAATGAGTTAAAAGGTTCCGCAAAACAAACCTTTTGTGGTTTCACAGACAAGAATACAAAACAAGAACGATTAACGTCTGAACCGACCATCACCTCTGAATCAGTTTGTGTTATAACAAATCTCGTTCTCAGATTTGTTTATTTCTAACAAAATCCAAACTCATCTCATCAGAGTTATTAAGAAACAGAAGGAAAAACAAGAATTCAAAATCATCCATTGGTCTTGAAGAATCAGTCTTTGAGCAGCATTTTTTACTCTTCAGCAGCGATAACACTGATCTCACCTCTCTCAAGCAAGTCATAGAAAGCTCTAGTTTTTCTCTGTTCGTTCCAATGGTGCATCTTCCAAAGACCACCAGCAGCTAAACCGAGTGCCATACCGATGATTAACTCCTTCACAACGCTAGGCCCTTTAAGTGTGGCATGTGCAACTCTGTGTCCTGCCATCTCTTTGACTTCTCAACCTAATCAAACTGATACAGTAGTCCCTACAAAATACACGTAAGCTAGAAATGTAATTCACAACAACCAACTCGTATATAATAAAAATGAATATTTGCCGGATCAATCAAACATTCGAAGCTACTTTATGTGACTATGTATATACAAACATAGTACAACCCCAAAGATAAACATGATGAAGTCCATACACTTCACCTAAAAAAGCTAGAAATGTAACGCACAACCAATTATATATGACAAAAACAGACTCTCTTCCTTATCAAAACAGGTTTCTTATCAATGTTACATTTACAAAAATGAACACTTTAGATCAATTGTCTATGGATTTCTTTCTTGATGCAATCAGTGATTAGCTAAAACGAGAGATCTCAAAGACATTGGTTTCAATGTCGATGGCATGATCAAACGATTCAAATTGACATCTTTTTACCAATAAATATATCAGTCTGAGAAGCATTAATATTAAAACCGAACAAGGTAACTAAAATTCCGGCAGGAAAAATCTGGATCCATTAGATCGCCGCAATAAGAAGAGGAATCGATCAGAATAAGAAATGTAATCAGCATCTATTCTAGAAGAAGAATCCGCATAAAACCAGAAATTCTGGTGAAACTAAAGAAATAAACAGAGAAATCTAAGAAAGAAAGATGGATTTGGGGATTTACCAAGTCGGAGGAGGAAGACGATCGACGCGAAGCTGACAATTTAAAGTTCACTCTGTGGAAAGAAAGATAGATTAACTAACTCGAGTTTTCTCTTCTCCGACTCATTGGGCTCATATCTTAGCCCGGCCCATTTATTATTAACTATAGTTTTACTTTTCCCCTCCGCCTAACAAGAGTTGAACTTTTCTTTTGGCCATACAATGGGTGACTCGATTGACAAGTTTGGTCGGCCTAACCTACCTGATCGATAGTAAGGTTCTATGTCTGCCTAACGTTCTATTTATAAGCTTATTTGTTCTTTGGAATGACAAAATATTTTTTATCTAATTATATCACCAAATTGGAAATTTAAGCTTCAATTGCAATAGCCAAATAGGATTTTCTTTTATCTAAGAAGAGACACATACTTGTGGATGCTGTGTTTTGGACAGAATCTATTGAAATGTGATGTAAAGCCTATCTATCTTTATCAAATTTTATTCAATCTAGTATGAGAAAGACACTCATGAAAAGATGTTCACATCTTTCTTATTACAAATATTAACTTGAACCTTCGTATTAGGTGTAAGAACTTGAATCCAAAACAACAACAAAAATGCTTTCCTTTAGTGACTTTATAATGCTTCAATTGTTGTTAGTTACACTTTAGTGTCACCTTCACCGTCATAATGAGCAGAATAAGCTGTAGAAACAAGAGGAGCACTGGCATTTCCATGTGGGTTTCTTCTACTACCTTGTTCGAAAAGCAAAATCATTCCCACCCACAAAGACCCTCTAACGATCCTAACTATACCAATCGTCACAACCATATAGTATAACCACCAATTCACAAAATCGACCGTTCCCACATCCATACTCACGTCAAAAGTACCATCGGTTGGTAATAATAATAACAACAATGCTCTTTTAGCCTCTGCCACACCAACCAAAGCCTCTACTTCATCTCGAAGCTTCCACCACCACAACGTCCCACAGCTAACGGCCAAAGCCACTCTCTCCCCCACCGTCTCTTCTCTCCGGTGATGACCTACGTCTCCTCCGATCAACGTGCTGTCCACCACCGGTCTCACGATCACCCTACACCACAGAAGCATTACCTCATGAAGACCACAGAAAAACACTATCCTGCTCAAGAAGTTACGTTCACTTCCGATGGTTAAACCGTTGGAACTTGTTCCTTCCAGTCCTAAACCGACGGAAATTTGAACAAGGAAGAGAGTGAGCCACGCCATGGTGACATGTGGATAAAAGGGAATCGAGCGGTTGGGATCTGTGGCTGTGATCTTGGTGGTCAGACCAAGAACTAGAGTGTAAACGCTTATTGCCGAAACGGCCACGTATAAGATGGCCGGATTCGTGTAATGAAAGATAGAGAAGAAGAAAGATGAATCCCCTTGCGGAGGAGATTTGATCAGTGAGAAGAGGAAGGAAGCTGAAGAGAGACGGCTTAGGAGAAGGAAAGAGAGAGGAAGGAGGAGGCTGAGGAGTGTTGTTGTTACTAGCCTGAAAGGCTTAACCACCAGCTGCTCTGCCTCTCTCAGCCACTTTACATCGCCGGCGATACTCATTTTTATTTTCAATTGAAGGATGGTTGAGAAGTCAATACGACTCGTAAAGCCATTTTCTGTGTTATTTGAAGGCTAATGTTTGAAATGATCAAGGAGTGGGTGCCATGACTATAGTTTTTTTTTTCTTTCTTTTTCATGTCTATAGGTTTCAAGTTAGGTTGGATGAAAACTTATCAATTATCATTCATATATTTAAAGATATTCAAAATAAGTTGATACATACCATACTAAGAGAATATTTGCCTATAAATAAAACAAATAGACTAGTGATGAGAAAATGATACCCTTTATTCTTCACAATTAAAGTATCTCTCTTCCCAGATTGTCAACTACAGAAAAAAAAAACATAGAGAAAATTTGTGATACGTCCAGATTGAGTGTGTCCCAATTGGTAGAGCATTAGCATAAGCATTATGCTCTCTATTATCCAATCAACATTTGGCAAAGTAGCATTTAGAAAAGCATTTACCAAATGCAAATGCTCTCCAAATGCTCTTTGGTCAATGCTCTCATATAGAGCTTTTGGGAGAGCATTTGCATATAGAAAATATAAAACTTAACAATATTTATATATAATTATTTTTTTAAAAGAAATATAAACAATATTTTTATAATTAAATATAAATTTATATTTTTAAAAAATAAAAATAAAAATTATATTTTTTTTAAATAACAATATTTCACATTTAATATATAATATAATTTATATAATTACATATATCATTCATTATTTTTAATAACAAAAATAACATAATATAAATTATATATTATCGATATAAACATATTATTTAGACACGAATAAATAAATTATATATTAACTTTTATGATAATTTTATATATGAGTAATTTAGTGCTCTACCAATAAATAAATAGTAATAATTTATATATAAATTTTAATTAATTTATATATAAAATATAATTTATTTATTTAATAATAATTATAATTTAATAATAATTAATTAAATTCTAACTATAATTTTATATATGAGTAATATGTTATATCCAAAATAATTTAATATTTTTAAAAAAACTTTAAATTTTTAAATATAATTATATAATGAAATTCATTTTTTTAATAAAATTATATATTATTAATTTATTATATATATATTATTTTAAAAGTAATATATTATTTTACTAACTATTATGATAATTTTAAAATCGTATACTGCTAATGCTCTGCCAATCACTTTATTAAAAACTTTAATGAAAGCATACAGCTTCTGTAGCATACTGCTTCTGCAGCATACTGCTACTGCTTTATCATCTGCTGTACCAATCGAGGCCTTAGATACCAAAAAATAGAGATTATAACTTAGATTAAGGTTAATACAACTTTAACGACATGAAATTTGAATTAAAAGTTAATAAAAAAGAAACTATTAAAAAATTAGTTATAAAGAAAATATTATTTTTAACGTGATCGGTAATCCAAATCTAATGCGTTCTTAATATGTTTTTTAGTTGAAGACTGAAGAAATCAATGGAATCACCAAGGACGTCGAGGAGCACGGGTTTCTTGCTCCAACCAGACTATTTTTGAGCTGTGATCCAAGGAAAAAAGGTAGCGCATGTTTATGATTTTTGATGGATCACATAATCCACTCAGAAATTAGGGTTAGAATTTAATTTAATGTATCAAATAAGTAACGAACAAAAGACTATTTATGAATGATTTGAATGTAGAACAGTGTTTCGTATTGATATAAATGTTAATACAATAATGAAGAAGATGATATATAAGAATACAAGTGAATTCAAATGTAAAATGAGTATATTTTTGGTATATGAGGCTTGAATCCCCTAGCTCCTTCTCTGTTGTCCTCCTTTACTATCCGGCTGTCGAGAATCGTAACGGTATCACAATACATGGCAAGTATCCCGTATCGTTAAGTTGCCATTAATACGTCAGATCTTCCTGACTCGATCATGCCAGCATTGACTTCTTCTTAAGCTTGCAATTGGCCTTGGCATTTTTACATCTTAGGTGTTATCTTAACGGGTTTTTGAGTTATTGTGTTGGATCCTTGAACTGGATTTGGAGTGGGGTGAAACCCACCTCCAACTGTATCCCCCCCCCCCCCTAGAGTGTGGCGTTTGAATTGTTACCCATATCGGTGTTGATTTCGACATCATTGGTGTGATTGTGACCGGCAGTTTATGAATTTCACAATCTGATTCAAAATTCCAGTTCAATAAATTAATTGCATATTTAGCTTTGGCTGATGAAAATCAAGGGATTTGATTTTACCTCCTCGATGGTGAAAACAATTATTTAGCTTCCCAATTCTCTTGTGAAGACTTAGACTATATTTTTCTTTAATTATACAGAGATATCCTTCGTGGCTACACGGAAGTGGTCCAGAATAGGTACATGTTACCACGTGTCAGTATGACCGGTACTTGAACCCTGTTGACTTCACCGTATTGGACTTTTGCCCTTAAGTTAATTATCCCCAGGCCACAAGTTCTGGTTCTCTATTTTCTTTTGATGTGCTGTCATAGTGTCATTAAGAAAGGAAAAGCTTTGTCCCTTTTCTCTATTCTTAGTGTTTTACCTTAACTGCTTGTATACATGTTTGATTTCAATTCATCTCAATCTTTTATCGAATCTTTATGCAATTTTTGTATTTTTTCGCTCCAAAATTGTGCCTTTCGACTTTAGTTGTCTTTCTTGATCGTTTTTATTTTGTCATTTTTTCTATATATCGATGGCACCTCTGGTCCTAAGGAAGTCAAAGCGACCCTTTGTTCATGCTTTGTAATTAATTGGGATTCAATGGGGGGGGGGGTTCCGACGATTCTTCGAATTCATCGTCTGATGATGATATTTTCATTAGGTTCATTCCTACCTATGTCAAGGCCTAGCCTTTTCTCTGGTGGCCTTGCAAGTACTGGTGGTAGAGGCGGTGCCCCGACCTTACTAGGGGATCTAGTCGCCGCAACTGGTTGACTCCCTCTCAGCCTGTATTTTGAGCATTGCAAACCACCAATACTGCAAATTATATTCATGAGTAGAGGGAATTACTCGATGTTCCCACATAAACAATCTTCCTCCTTCTTACCGATTCTGACAAGCCCTGGTTGGCGTCTTCGGGGTATGATTGTTCTTCAAAGAGTGATATTGTAACATCCTGATTTTTGGTATATGTGGAAATGATTAAGTGAATTGATTTGGCTGCAGGTCTTAAAACTGCACTTATCTTTTTAGGCACACATCCGTTTAGAACTTCAGAGTTAAGCGTGCTTGCTAAAGTAGTGGAAGGATAGAGAAGTGATTCACGATATTTTTCAAGTGTGATCAGAGCACGAGGAAAGATTCATATGGTGACTGGAGGGTCAGTAAATGACTTTCAAGTATTGGAAAAATTAACGCACCGTCCATCGCACGGAATGGGGCCCATAGGCCGAGAGAGTGGACGTAGAAGGTCGGGGAGTGATATCAGAACTGGTTAGCCATCTTGGTTCTGACCCGAGAGGCTTCTTGAGACTTGTCCTGGTGGACAACATGGGTGTTGCTCTGTGTGAGTGGGGGTAAATTGTAACATCACGATTTCTGGTATATGTGAAAAGTCTTAAGATAATTTATTTGGCTACCTATGTCACCAAAGTGCATTTACATTTTTAGGCACACATCCGTTTAGAATTCCAGAGTTAAGCGTGCTTGTGCTGGAGCAGTAGAAGTATGATGACCTATTGGGAAGTGATTGACGATATCGTATGAGTGAAGAAAAATCAAGAAGAAATGTCATGTGGTGATTGCATGGTTAGTAAACATGACTTTCGAGTCTTGGAAAATTAATGTACCACCCATAGCACGGAATGGGGCCCATTGGCCGATAGAGAGGGCATTGTTGGCCATCTCGATTCTTTTCCGAGATGCGTCTTAAGACTTATCGTGGTGCATAATGGGGGAGTTGCGCTCTATGAGTGGATGTGAATTGCAACATGCTGATTTCTGGTATATGTGGAAAGACATAAGATCATTGATTTGGCTACCTATGTCACCAAAGTGCACTAAATTTTTCAGGTCCATATCTGTTTAGAACTCCTGAGTCAAGCGTGCTTGCGACAGAATAGTGAAAGGAGGAGTGACCTATCAGGAAGTAATTCAAAAAATTGTGCGAATGAAGCCGAAGCACGAAAATGGTCATTTGGTGATTGTAGAATTAGTAAACATGATTTTAGAACCTTAAAAAAACTAATGCACCGGACTGGGGCCTACGGGGTAACAAAACATGCATGAAAAGCCCATTAGCTGTGGACAGTCGAAGAGCTACAAATATCTTTGGTTCCATCATCCTCAGTTTTTGATTGCGTACTGCCATAGATGTCAAATGACCATTTCCTAGCTAATGATCGGCGGGGTCTGGGTTATAGTAGTCTTTTAGTGATTTCTTGTAAGAGAGGACTTGTGATAGAACAGCTAATTCTTCAAAATGATGCTACCGTTAGACTGATTTCCTGAAAATTCGGTATTTAACCTTGCAGATAACCCTCATATAATCACAGTGTGTCCCACACGGTGCAAGTTTGGAAGAGAAAATACTTTTTTTACGAAAACTGACGAGAACTCGATCTCTGACACCTTTGCGGAGGGTTCGATCTGGCGTTTTTCATATCTCATTGTTGTTCGAGTTGGTTCTTTTAATTGCTTTTCTTTCATGAACTCTTCCAGAAAAATTACCGATGACTATAAATATGACTTGAAATGAAAAGTATTAGTTTGTTGTAAACTAATGAGATAATAAAGGAATTAGTGTGTATATTACTCATAACATATGATCCCTTATATAGGGAATTACATGGAAGATAAATGGAAAGTACAAAGCCAATACAAATATGGAAAATGCTAAGTCTAAACCGTCATATAGACTACACGGATTGGGCCTAGATAATATGGTTATGGCCCATCCACTAATTGGTTCATAACACTCCCCCTTTGATGTCATAGCCATATAGAGCTTGTAATACATTTTGGATGCTGCCTCATTAAAACT